CAGGACAGGATCTGACAGCACTAAGTGGACGCAAACAGCCCTTGATGTGAAGCTGGGCCACATGGGAGCGAGGAGAAAAGGCAATGAGGGATAAGTCAGCTTGGGTTTTTCAAAACATCGAGTGTCCAGCAGGTAATGCTGGATGTGGTACTTCTTAGACCAACACCTTCCTCTCCTGGCACTGCTCCTTTCCCTGCGATGGCTCCCTTGTTTATGTGGCTGCGTGATGAAGCAGATCAGGAAGCTGATGCAGCTGAAAAACAAACCTCCTCCAAAAAGGCTCTTTCTGAGGTTGATCAGTTGTGCCACTGGCCCTTCCCATACCTGCCAACTATTTGAAATGGCAAATGAAGTCATGCTTTTGATGATAAAATTGGCCTCTGGGTACACACACAGGTCCTCAGCACCTTTGCCACCATAACTGAGTTCTGCTTGGCCCTTGTTAGCCAAGTTGTCTTCTCAAGGGTATAGGTTTGTGCTGAAGTGACTTCTTTCTTCAGCCATAAGGATGATCTGTAGGGCCAGTTCAAGACATGACATGCAGTTAGGAGCCCGTGGACTCCACCTCTTCTTGTCTGAGGGAAGAGACATTACTGCTGCCTCCTCATACCTTCCATGTACCTGCCACTGAGCTGACAGAAAACCAGCATTTCATTCAGTTCAGTTTTGGGCCTCTCACACCAAGAAAGACATTGAGATTCTGGAGAATGTCCAGAGAAGGGCAACGAAGATGGTGAGGGGTCTGGAGCACAAGTCTTATGAAGGATGACTGAGGGAGCTGGGAGTGTTCAACCTGGAGAAAAGGAGGCTGAGGGAAGACCTTCTCACCCTCTACAACTCCCTGAAAGGAGGTTGAGATGGGGGTTGGTCTCTTCTCCCAAGGAACAAGCAATAGGATAAGAGGAAACAGCCTCAAGTGTCACCAGGGGAGGTTTAGACTAGACATTAGGAAAAATTTCTTCACTGAAAGAATTATCAAACATTGGAATAAGCTGCCCAGGGAAGTGGTGGAGTCGCCATCCCTGGAGGTATTTAAAATCCAGGCAGAGGTATATGGGTTAGTGGTGGTTTTGACAGTGTTAGGTTGATGGTTGGACTCAATGATCTAAAAGGTCCCTTCAGCCTAGACAATCCTATGAGTCTATGATTCAATCTGGTTCAAATCCAGGTATGAATTCGAAGTGTTGATGAGAGCAGGTTTGCAGGAAGAGATCCTCAGAAGACTCCTCAGGGAAGCAGGGGCTGTCTGCAGGAATGCAACCTCCTATTTCTCCTGGCTTAGAGAGCCACCAGAGGGAAGTATCCCTGCCTGCCCATAGCAATGGATGTGACGCTCAAAGTCCATCCATGAGCTATAACACTGAACATTGAGGGGTGCAGGACACAACCCCAGAGCTGAGATGTGAAAACAGGATGCACAGAGTCTTCACTTATTGCAGAACTTGCGTAAGTATCTAATGCGGAACAGCTCTAAACAAGCCATGGGGTCAAAGGCCTCTTCTCCTATGACCTCTGTGGTTAAGAGCTTCCCTGGAGAGATGGGACTCTCAAGTCCAAAGCCACTCCTTGTTGACTCGGGCCAAGTGTTTTAAGCAGGAACTTTCTCCTTTTCCAAACATCCTACATCACTGGGCTGTCTGCAGGGGTGTCCCACAGTTAGAGCTGCTCCATGCTCTATTGACCTTGAAGTCTCCTCCAGGATGCCATGGAGTAGCTCTGCTTTGTTATGGACAGAGAGAGCAGATGGTGCAAACTTTCCAGGGTCTTATATATGATTGTTATGGACATTTATTGACCACATGGGGACAGGTTCTCCCATTCAGATGACTTCCAGAAACTAAATGTAACACAGGTAAGTTGAACCAGGAGTATATGCTGCCTCCTGCATTGCACACCTTGAGCTTGGGCTGATTTGTTTCTTGTTGTGGTTACTTTCATTGTTGTTGGGGTTAGATTTTTTGTTTTGTTTTCTTGTTACTTTTTTTTAAAAAAATATATTTTAAAGGGGCTAGACTGTGCCTGTTCCCTTTTGACCTTTGAATACCAGCCAGATCAATAAATCATTTCAGGCCAAGGGGTGCACTGCTCTCTGTGGTCTGCAAACACACTTCTCAGCAGTGCTTGCCCCACATCCAATAAAATAAGTCTGTTCTACCCTGGCAGAAGCAGCCTTTAGAGTGGGATCTATTCATCACACCACTGAAAAGAAAAATAAAATTCAGGGGCAGGGGTTGAGCCTCTCACCTTCTTTTCAGGAGGCACTGGGAGCTGTCAAGACAACAAGGAGCAGGATTGGCTGCCAATGGGAAGATGAGGTCCTTTGTGCATCTGACATGGGAACCATCAGTCTCCATTGCCAGCAGTAATAGGGTATAGAGTGGCACATCAATGCCATGGGCTTCCAGTGTTATCAAACAAACAGTCAAATGGACCTGGACACAGAACTCTGTCTGCCTGCAGAGTCACTTCTTTTCCTTCCAGGAAAGGCTAGGTCTTGTAGAGCCAAAATACAAATGCATCATGAGGGACAACTCTGTCCTACACCCCCAAAAACCCAAAGACAAGACAGATAAGGGACCTGGCAGGGCAGTAGCACGACCCAAGTCCTCCATGGCAGTTAGAAGAGTCCTTCTGCCACCCAAGTAAGTGCTGTTCAGAAATACTCTGAGTGATATCACTGGAGCCTGCCTGAAGGCTTGGGGTGGCCACCCAGGATTTATATTGCTCCAAGTCACAACCACTTTGCCCCCATAAATATTGTCTGCAAGTTGGGGCTGGTGCATCTTAAATGTGAAGACTGTGTTGCCCTTCCCAGGCTTTTTCTTTTGGGTCTGTAGTGAGGGAAGAGGCAATGGGATGAGGTCCTCCATCTGGCTGAGAAGGGCACAGACCCATATGTCCTTGGGTGAATAGGACAAATAGAAACCAGCCCCCATTTTCCATATCATCAAAGGAGGGAAGGACTGGACCTAACCAACTTTTCACCCTGGGCTCTGAAGCCTTTGTGCAAAAAGCAAGCTTCTGAGCCTTAGCCAAACAATTAATTGCATTAAAGCTAACACAGTGCAGATTACAGCCTTTTGTTCTGCCACCCCTCGTCCCACAAGAGGATCTAAAACTATGCATCTCCTTTGCCTCCTGCAGCATGAAGGAGCAGACACACAGCGAAATGAAGATTGAGTTAGTCTGTTCACATACACCCCATAACGTTGTAATTTCACGTGTCTGTAGTCTAAAAATCTGGATGGCAGCTCTTCTGCAAAGCGGGAAGATCTTCTCCTAATTGCAAAATCCTCTGTGACCACCAACTCTTATCTCAGAGACGGTCTGGCAACTCGCAGCCTGTGGGAATTTCTGGGGTGTTACGGAGGCCCTGCCACTGGAAATTCTTTCACAACATCTTAAGAAAACATTTCTTGGGAAAGGGTAAATCAGAATTCATTCAGCCTTCGGATTAGTGTACCTCTTGTACATTCATTTGATCTAAATACCTGTTGCTAATGATTGCATTGAGTCTTTAAAACCTTGAACATGCTGCTTTGAGTAATGACATTGAGCTGATTCCTCCTCTTCCCTGTACTATTTGGGATTGGACAGAGATTTGCCTGAGTTTTACTGCCCAAGAAGCTCAGAATAGCTTTTTCCAAAGCCAGGACTTGGGCCCATGGGATATCTAAATGATAATGTATTAGATTTCTTCCTGTTCCAGTCAACGGCAGCGTTAATGCTGGCCTCAGTCGTGGAATCAGGTCTCAAAATTGGGCCAAGGGCATGTTTGCAAAGCCTTGTGATTTGATTCCTTTGCTCTACCACGATGAAGAGCCCCAGATCTGCTTGTCAGTCATATGCATCTCCCCAGCCCCACCAACGCTGCTGCTGCTGCTAATTAAGAAGAATGATCAATACTAAATACTGACAGTCTCATAGAGAAGGGTGAGAAAATAGGGTGTGAGAGCAAGACCAGCTGGTTGGTATCACCAGATCCCAAGGTAGGCAGGTGGTCTACAGCACAACAGAAGGAAATGCCTTTGCACATATGGTTTTTAATGAGCTGTTAATTGGGCATTGAGTGAACAGGACAAAGAAGCATCAGAGGATGTGGCTTGAGGTTTTGGCTGATGTGAAGCCGGAGGCTTGGAATAAAATGAAAGCTGGGCTTTTATGGCCAGTTGCTGTCATTTCCAGCAGGAGAGGGACACCAGGTGGGCAGGCAACTCTGCTCTAAAATCACAGCTGGCTTTAGGGACCTTTCCCTCTGCTGGTGATGTCGTCAGGTACTCCTAAAGTGCTGGCTGTGGGAAGAGAGATCTCTGAGATGTAGCAGTGAAGGTGGGAAGCATTCTGGCTTGTCCCCTTCTCTCAGGCAATAGAGGGAAATGGGACAGGACACCCACCCAGGACTAGGTGGGTGGGTGCAGGGTGCTTCAACACACAGCCCCAGTGCCAGTAATTAACACATGTGGGACTGATGAAAGAAACCCATGGGAGATGATTATTTTGCTACCCACATGAGACAGCTTTCTCCCTTGCTTCTCCCTCCAACCCTACATCTGGCAGTGATTTTACAGCCCAAAATAGAAAGGAAGTGGAAGAAAGAGGTTTAAGCTAAGCTTGAGCCCATTTGAGGAGAATATGGAGAGAGTATGTCAGAGAGAAACAGAGAAGGCATGTTGGAAGGACGCTTCGTTTCCCATACTGCTGGTGTCTTACTGCAAAGGATCTGGGGAGAATTGGTGGTTGAAGTACTCTCCCATGCTTTGCCTGGGCTTTGGGTAAAGTAAACCCATGACTATGACTCTTGCATCCTCCTTGACCCCTTGGCATCTGGTGTTCTGGGGCAGGAGAAACAAGCTGTGACAATTTTGTTTTTCTTGTGCTGCAAGACCTTCCCCATAAAAACTAGTCTGTTGGGTCATCTTCAGCTGCCTCCCTCCTGTGCTCTGAGCAAGGAGGGGCCCAACCCCAGCTGTGCAGCCTGGGGCTGCTGTGGGAACACTCACCATGCACCTTGGGCACCTTGGCTTTCAGGTGTCTCTCGCACTTCGCCTTGGCTTTTAGCAGTAGGAAGATCTGCTCCTCTTTGGTGATGACATCATCAGCATCCACCTGCAGGGATGGGGAGAAATGAGGTTAAACCTCAGCATGGGAAGAGCAGCAGGACACAAAACTCCTGGATAATGCAGATGACCTGAATGTAAAAATCTCCCCTGCATCAGCAGTTTGCTCCACTGGCCTTGCTCTGTGCATCTCAGCTTGCTCAGCAATTAGTGTCCCAAGCGACACCTCTTAGAAGATGCCACATGAAATCATCTGTGTATGTGGCCAAGGAAGCACTCGCTGCAATCTCTCCCATCACACACACGTGCACACAGCAGCTTCTGGGGTGGTGTGCCCCAGCTCGCAGGCATGAGGCTGGGAAAAACACATCCTAGTAATTAATATTGCAATATAGTATTGTTAAAAAATAGTCCGTTTTGGGACATAGAAGCGTAGGTAAATCTAACACTCAGGAAATGGCAAAGCAACGCTGTGTTTCATGACACCCTCCTCGTGGAAAACACTGCCAGGGGTTAAAAGTACCAAGGGCTCCTCTTCCTTTAGGAATCACAACCTGCCATCAACAGGAAGAGCTATTTCCACCTCCGCATGCAGACCCCTTGGCCACAGGGCATCAGGCTCTATCAACACCCTGGCCAAATCCAAAAACATGTTCAGAGGCGGGGTTGCCTTAGGCAGGGCTGTGAGCTGAGGGCATCCACCCCCCCGAAAACTGAAGTCTCAGGGGAAAGAGTCTGTGAGCATCATCCTGGGAATTAGATTAGATTTCTCCTCCTGTAATGTCTCCAGAGGTCAAGAAGAGGGGGGATAGGGAGGGTGCTTTACCCAGGGCCTTTTTTACCACCCTCTGTTTGCTGCTTGCCTACATGTGATGATACCTGGCCCTCAAAAGCACTTGCTGGTTATAAAAAATAAAAATTATCCTTCTTCATGAAGCTGGTATCTTCCTGTCAGGCACGACTGGCCTCAGGAAACTGGGGGTACAACCGTGGGGAAGGATTGGATGGGAGGGCTCCTCATACACAAGATCACCCCAAAGTTGGTCAAAGCACAGAATAGCCACGTACAATGCCTGATAGGGCTCCTAAATGAAAGATGTTTATAAGGTAGTAGCCTGAATGAATTAAGTAAAGTTTGGGATAAATCACTGGTCTTCTTACTGCCTCTGTTTCCCTAATGTTTGTAGGTCTTGGTTAATCAGACTATAAATGCAACGAGAGCAGATGTTCCCTCTCTCTGGGAACTCAGCACTCGTAAAAGCCCAATGTAAGCAAGAAGGGCTGCAGTATGATTTTATACAAAACAATATACTTTTTTTTTTACTAACTTTCATTGACTCTGCTAGTGATACTGGCCACTATAATGCAAAACCTAGGGATACTGGATGGTTGGAGCAGGTCTAAACGTTAATGCTTAGTACAGGCAGGCAAAAAGAAAGAATAGAAGACCTTGTGAAGCCAGTAGTGACCTGCAGATGAGAAGGAAACCTGTCAATAGGTTGTAGAACCTGCCTACGGAGGTGGTTGCTCACTTCAGTCCATCTGAAGCAGGGACTGAAAGGGAGTTATGACATTACATCGTGCTCCCCCGAACCAGTGCTATTAAGAATTAAGGTTCCATCACTCATTTTAAGTGATTTCACTTCTGAAAGCGAGTGAGATAAGGCAGCTGAAGGCCAATCAGTTCTCGAGCAAGACTCACTACAAATGGCATAATGAGGGTTAATGAAATCCAGCTTATAAGTAAACTCAGATTCAATTTCCCTGTGTGCTCCTATGGAGAGGAGCGGTGGATATTTGAGCAGCTGGTGTGGTAACGGACACACAGATGGGTAGCTAGATCTGATAAGGGTATTCTGAGTAAAACAGAAGTTAAGTTTTTCATGTCCTTGGAAAAAATCCACGCTAAAAATCCTTCAGAAGTGGGAGATGTTTTCAAAACCGCATTAACGTTAATGCAAAACAAAGCCATCCCTTTCCAGATGTTTGGCCTGTCCACATTTAAGGCAACATCCCGCATTTCAACTCTTTGATTGGAAACAAAAAACAAAAACCTGTGGGTCAAATCCTGCTGTCATTTATATCTGCACAAACCCAGAGTGATTCCACTAAAGCTGGAGGAATTAGTCTGGATTTACAGTGGCCAGAGGAGCATCCGACCTCAGGCATTTCAAGTGATTCATCCCTTGCACACTTAGTGCTCGGGCTCCTTTGGCCGTGCTCTGAGAGTGGGACAGCTCCCAGCCAAAGGGATGTATGGTCTCCAGGCCAGGCAGAGAAAACAAATTTTAATTCCCAGAAATAGAGATTAGGTACTGAGCACCGTGCCTGGAGCTGGGCAGAAGAGCTGGGGCAAAGCTCTGAACTCAACCCAGGTTTTTCAGCTTTCCTGAGCTTTGACCACCACTCTGAAATTTCCCAAAACCTGCCAGACCCTTTAAAAAAATAAATTTCCCTATTCTCTCCCCTCAAACCGGTATCTGTGCTGAGAAATATACTCCATCCAACATTTCACCCATTTTTAACCAAAAAACCTCTGCTAAACCTACCCGTTTTGCAGCCCAAGGCTTCTCATCCTACAGATGCTCACCAGCCAACAGAAAAGAACCAACATCACATGTTTTTGCCAAAACAATACCTGCCTTGCTGGCCAACTGAGGACATCCAGGATGAGACTGACTGATCTGAGGTATTGACCCAGAGGTACCCTTATAGTCACTGAGCATTTGGCTACACAGATCAGCTGAAATTCATTCGATCCTTAAACCACCACTTAAAATAAATCAGATCAGCTGTGGGGATTTTTTTCACCCCCTCTTTTTTTTTTTTTTTTTTTTTTTTTTTTTTTGGGCAGCTGGTGACTGCAGTAATTGGTCACGTTAACAGCACTGAGAAGATCTGCAGAGTTTAGGAGCTGGGCTTTTGCTGGAGTGAGCTCTAGGGGCAAGAGAAGCATCTGAGGGAAGTCAGAAATAGTGTCACGGGCAGGTATATCTCCCAAATCCAACTATTTGGCAGCATGAGGTCATCCTGCCCCTGCAGAAGTTCATCGCTCTAAAAGAGCTGACAGCAAATCTCTTTTCATGAGCTCTCCCCGACTTGCTTCAGCATAAATCCCTGCACTGAGCTTATTTGGCATCAGATTTATGCAAGCCCAAGGGATGCAGGAAGGCTGGGCACTACGTAGAGGGGTGCAGAAGGATGGCTTTGCCCTTCACTCCTGCTGTGACAGATTTGGTGCAACTGGAAGGGATGGGGGGGGGTCCTCCCTGGCCTCCCCAATTTTGCAGTCAAAGCCCATCTGCTACTCTTTCTCAACATTTATCACCTCTTGGTTTCCCAGCCCTGATATTTTTTTTTTTTTTTTTTTTTTTTGCCAGAAAAATAAAATTTCTTGTGGGGAAAAGATCTAGGAATGTTTTTTTTTTTCCTCCCCCCTCATTCAGAGAAAGCAGAAAAGCAGAGCAGGAGGTAGGCCAAGCAGGGAAGGGTGAAAAGACAATGCTGTCCAGAGGCTGTTAAGTCAGTTTTGGTTCAGCTTTTTTTTTTTTTTTTTCCCCTTTCCCTTGCCCCTAGAGGAGGCCATGGGGTAATTATGATAATGTTTTCTGGTATTTCCATTTCATTGGCTGATCTCCCAGCCACTAAAGTAAACCCCAAATCTCAACGGGGAGGTCATATTCATCCTTGTTTATGGGACTCATTTTCAGAAATAACACTATCCTTTTTGTGAAACTTCCCTGGCAGCGGCTCAAAAAATAGCTGAAGGCAAACAGATTCCTTGGTCGGGGTTGAGAGCATCACAGCTGCTCGATGGGCCCAAGGCAAGGGGCTGCTGGTGATCACCATCTTGGACAGCAGTGGACCAGGTAATCGTTGGCGTGAAGCAGAAAAGGGGGTGCAGGCAGGAGGGGAGCTCAGGAGAAAGATGAGAAAAAGGTAAATAGGAAAATGAAAACATAGTGTTGGTGACACAGAAGGAAAAGGGAGGTGGGTCCCAAGGGTGTGGGACGTAGGTGGAGCTGGCCATGTAGATTGCACCCAACACCAGCCCCAGATTTTGGTGATCGTCTCTGGAAGGGTGATGGCAGTGCTGTCTTTTTGTGAGGAGTGAACCAGAAGGACTGAGGTGGGATGGAGACACAGAAATCAACAGTTACTCAGCTTTGGGGAAGGTGACAGAACTTTTCAGAGGTTTTACTTTAACCGAGCCTTAGGAGAACTGGGTGAAGTGTCGAACTGAAGCACCAAAACAAGCAATATAAGGTCATAAACCAAATCCTTTCTCCTGCAACAGAGGTTCCAATTGATCTGAGGGCACGAGCGGGAAGGAAGTGAAATTAGAGCTTCAATCCAGCCTTGCTGATGGAGCAGCACCTCTCCTAAACTCTGTAAGGGTCAAAAGAGCTGCTAGGATTAGGAGATTAACCTAATCCAGTCTAATCTAAGGCCAGACCTGCAGTTGCCACAGATGAGCAGACCTCTACCGATATCAGAACATCGGGCTGGGCTGAGGGCAGTGGGATATTGATGCCAGGCTTCCAGACAGAGGTGGCACAACTAAATAATGGTGCAGAGCAGGGATTCAGCTGCCTTTGGCAGGAGCCTTCTCCATGGGCTGAGCCAAAACTGTATTGGTCAGAAGCTCGTGGTGATGGGGAATTGCTCAGAAGCAAAAAAAGGTGGCAAGGTGGAGTGGTGGGGAACAAGAAGTTGGTCAGTGATGGGCTGGAAACATGGGATGGTGTAGAATTAATATCCTGACCCTGTTTTTGTTTTTGTTTTTTTTTTTT